CACCCCCAGCTCTCCGCGTGACGCCCAGTCGGACCGAGTCGCCTGGCATCGCGCTGGGCCCTCCGCTGAAACAGTACGGGATACCCAGGAGGGGACCCGCGGAGAGAGGAAGGGCGGGCCGGCAGGCGCCCCACAGCCGGAAGGGGCGAGCCCCGCAAGCAGGCACCCGCCCCGCGGGGCTCACCTTAAGGTCGTTCTCCGGCAGGTACTTGCACAGCCGCGCTATCTCCACATACTTGTCTAGGTCTAGCGGCGCCATTTTAGGAATCACAAGCCGCGGCAGTAGCTGCGGCGGCGGCGGCAGCGGCTGTAGTAGCGGCGGCAGCGGCGGAGGCCGAAGCCGGAACTCTCCCTACGTCACGTCCGGTCCGTGAGTGGCGTCTGCGCAGCGCCGTTAAAGCTTGACCTGATTCTCCCGCTGCCTTGGTGCGCCCCGCGCCCTCTGTGGCTGAACTCAAGTGGCAGGCCCTAAGAGGTCCCCTCGGTCCAGCCAGCGAAACCTGCTGGGACCCGTAGTTGCCTGCCGCAGAGAGTGCTGGGATTTGTAGTGTTCACTTGTGGACAGTTCCCCCACTTTTCCTCCCCTTCCTTTCCTCCAGACTTTTCATTTTTGGGGACCCGGCGAGGCTTTTCCGAGGCAAAACGGCGAAGTAGGTGACCCTAGCCCTGGTTTCTTATTTCCTGGTTTCTTATTGCGACCCTTTTAAGAACTGTCCCATCAGAACTTCAGTTAAAAAGTGGGTAAGCCTGGATATAGTAACCTGTTTGCACCTTTCCAAGGCCTTGTAAAAACCTGTGGCAGAGATGTCAGGCTCCCAGTCTTCTGGCATGGAAGGAAGGGAAATAAATACTAAAGTGATTTTTATGCTAAACGGTATACAAATGATGTTTTTTTTCCATTTAATCTTCATTACGACTGAAAGGAAAGCAAGACTTGGTAGACATTAAGTAACTTGCCCCAAATCTCACAGGGAAAAAGTGGTGGAGCCAATATGGAAAATAGGTGTATTGGCTTAAGTATACTTCCAATTTTGAGTTCTAGGAAGGCAGGCAGTTTTTTGTTGCATCCCCAGCAGCAAGAATAGGACCTGGCATTTGGTATACCTTCAACATTCGTTCACGCAACAGCTATTTATTGAGCATCAACTATGTGCCAGGTACAGTTTAGGCGCTTGGGATAGTGAACAAAATAGACAAACATGTCTATCCTCAATCTGTAGCTTACATTCTAGAAGAGGAAGACAGAACCTAAAAACAATAAATATAATACATGACTTTATAACATATTAGAAAGTGATTAAGTGGTAGAGGAAAAAAACACAGCAGGATAAGGGAGGAGTGATGCATTTTTAAAAACCAACAAAGAAGTGGAGAGGTTAGCCATACAGATACCTGAGGGAAATTATAGGGAAGAACTGGAGCAGAGGCCCTAAGATGGAAGCATATCAAGAGTACTTGGAAAACAGCAGGAAGACTAGTGTGGTTGGAGTAAGTAGGAAAGAAGATCAGAGAGAAAAAGAGCATGTTGATTTTTTAACTTTTAATAAAATGGACATATATTAAGAGGCTTTTGAGCAGAGGATTAAAATGATCTAACTTGTTTTAAGAGAATCACTGTGGCTACTGTATGGAACTGTAGATGGGCAATGGTTGCAGCTGACAGACCAGTTAAGAGACTTATATAATCCAACAGTAGCAGATGCTCAATAAATAATTGTTGCTCAAGAGCCCCTGGACTGAATCCTCTTGCTCTAAAGTGTATTTTAAGGACAATTAGCTAAACTTTAGTGAGATATCCAGGTGAAGTTCTTTGTATTATTCTTGTAACTGTTCTATTAAGTATGAAATTGTTTCAAAGTAAAATTAATGTTAAAAAGTCTGTTGCAGAATGAATGATGCCCACAAGCATTTATTTCTTCATTCATTCAACAAATAGTTATTTAGTGCCTATGATGTGAATAAGACAGATATGATCTCTGCCTTAATGGATATTACAGTCTGGTAGGGGAGACAAACAATAAATATATGAATGAAAATGGCTTAAAACAGTGTCTAGCACAGTAAGTACAATGTGTTAGCTTTGAGTGTTGGGTGGGCAAAAAAGACTTTTCTGAAAAGGCAACATTTAAGACTTTAGGGGAAAAAAGTAAAGGGACAATATGTTCAGAGCTTTCTGGAGAAAAAAATCCAAATGGGAAAAGATGCTATTGTTGCTTGGCTTTCCTTTCATTACAATCCTCTTTGCACAACTGACAGTTCACTTTTCATCTCTGAACCTCAGTAATTGGGAATAAATCCTACACAAGATACTTTCTCAGAAGTGGGAAGGAAGACATATAGGGAGATGGATATGAATGTTCTTTCTAAACTATAAAATGCTTAAAAGGAAGGTGTCACCAGCATTCCTTGCTTCTCTTGCAGGTGAGTCAGTGAATAGGTCGGTGGTGCGCCGTTCCAGGATGTGGCTGTCCTCACAGTGCCACATTGCCTAGCAGCAAGAAGCTGCCTCCTGCAGACACACCTCACCCACAGCAGAAAAAAAGGAGGAAAGCATTCATTCCTTGGAGTGCTGGGCAGGTTTTTGGGAGAGGTGATAGACACAAATTGCGTGGTTTGGTGTACAGTGTACAGAGCTCAGTGACTGGAATGTGTTCCTAGTTCTCTTTGTACAAAACAAGAGATTCTGCCATTTATATGGGTAAGTCATTTTAACTCACTGGGTCTTGATTTCCATTTTAAAATATAGATCTCAAACATTTATTTCAGCATTCTCAAATGTGATTTCTACTCTAAAAACACAGGTCCCACATCCTCCTGTATACTTTAAATCATCTCTAGGTTACTTAAATAATAAGTAATTTAAGTGTGATACAGTATAAATGCTATGTGAAAAATAAATATATAGTCTGGGCATGCTGGCTCATACCTGTAATCCTAGCACTCTGGGAGGCCAAGGCAGGTGGATCGTTTGAGCTCAGGAGTTCGAGACCAGCCTGAGGAAGGATGAGACTCCGTCTCTACTAAAAATAGAAAGAAATTAATTGGCCAACTAAAAATACATAGAAAAAATTAGCCAGACATGCTGGCACATGCCTGTAGTCCCAGCTACTAGGGAGGCTGAGGCAGGAGGATCGCTTGAGCCCAGGAGTTTGAGGTTGCTGTGAGTTAGACTGATGCCACGGCACTCACTCTAGCCTAGGCAACAAAGTGAGACTCTGTCTCTTAAAAAAAAAAATTACATAGGTCCCATGATGAAAACTGGTTGCCATTTTGCCCACAAATCTCTTCCAAATTTTTTTGTTGATACGCCACTCCAGCACAGCACCTTGAAATAGACCTAGCCAAAAATACAGGGGACGTCAAAGCATTCTGCAGCTTTGAGCAGAAATCTCAATCCAGATGCACATGGACATATGGCAGAGCCAACATAGCATTGATTTTCTTTCCTAAAGGAGAGCAGAGTGACTCTTAAACTCCTCTTTGGTAGATAGGCAGTGGAGATTTTTCCATTAATATGGGAATTCATGAAGACTCCATGTATTTGAAATAGGATATTTGGGCAATGAGGAAAGCTGCAGACCCTGAATTCCATTTTGTCAACAAATTTTTGTTATGGTTTTAAGTTGCTAAAAGATTCCTTTTATTTTTTTTATTTTTATTTTTTTTAGGTCTTAGCTTCATCTAAGGCATAAAAGATTCCTTTTAAAAGTTGGCCTTTAAGTCTTGATGTTTGCAGTGATTTAAAGAATTAAGATTAAGAATTAAAATTTAAAAAAAAATAAAAAATAAATAAAAGTCGGCCTTTTACCTGTATTATCAAATCCTCCAACGGCTCTTTCTGCACAACGGGTATTACTATCTCCATTCTATAGATGAGGAAACTAGTGTTCAGCGTGGGTAATGAACTTACCAAATGTCAGAGGCAGATGGTTAGTGCTGGAGCCTGGATTTGATCCCAAGTATGTCTGACCTCTTCCCCACTAAGCTACCATAGCTCTGTACTCTAGGAGCTCTTGTTGCCAACCTCAGCTGTTTCCTGTATTTCCTAGGACACAACAACTGTGAGTGGGGTTCTCAGAGACAGAAGTGAGCCACCTCTCCCACTTTCAGGAAAGTCATAGGGAACTTAGAGTTATGAACTAGATCAGAGATAATGCAGATTAACACGTATAGAGACATTGTTCATTTTTAGCCAGGAATAGCCTTAACCTTGACAGAGGACTAGCTCTGCACCAGCCACTAGGTACTGAGCTTCTTACATGCCTTGTCTCGTATATTCCCCACAACTAGGACAGAAATCTTACTAGCTCCACGTTACAGACGACACTGAGACTCAGAGAAAAGTAACTTCCCCAAGAACAGATAGTCTCATTGATAAACGTTTTATCCCTTGGACACCTTTACAATCGTACCCAGTAGTCTTTCTGTTTAATCCCTGTCTAGAGTGTAAACTCCCGGAGGCCACGGTGTTGTCTTGCTCCGCGTAGCCCCCTCCGTAACGACAAACGGCCATTATGGATTGAGTTAGCTACTGAAGGCACCAAAGCTTGGACCGGCCTGAAGACTGCTCCGGCAGACTGCAGACGTAAGAAAGCACACTCTCCCCTTTAGAAACCATTTCTAACCACCGCCGTAACTGAAAAATGTAACTGTCAGCCTCTTTAGGATAGATCAGCTGCGGTAGGAGTTCGGGTCACCCCACGGACGCCCATCCCCGGGCATGTCGCTTGTAACTCGTTTCCAAGGAGCCCTGGCTTATTTACTCCTCAGGGGAGGGACGCCCGGCTGCTCGGCGCCCGAGAAACACAGCCAGACCGACGCGCGGATCCGGGGACGCCTCCACGCCCTCCCGCGGCAGGAGCAGGGCAGCGGTTGGCCCCGACTCGCTTCCGGGGCCTGCGGGGAGGGGCGAGAGCAAGCCCCGCCCCCACCGGGGCGGAGCCACAGCCCAGGACTGACTTGAGCCGCTGCAGGTAATGCGGTGCGGGACTTGGGGGGGGTCTTAGGACCTCCGGCCTAGCCGGATTCCAGGCAAGGGAGGCCACATCCTCCTTTGGGGAGAGCGGGCTCGGGCCGGGCGGAAAGAGCTGGGGAGGACCTCCTCTCTGGCCGGGCCACACTGACCCAAAGGAACCAGCTTATTCTCTCCCGACCCTGTCTCCCGTCCCCTAGAGCTGCCACGTGGGGATGAGACTTGCGGGGTGGGTAGTGGGGGCGGCAACAGGAGGTCCGTGCCCCCAAAGCCTAGGCCACTGAACTCTGCATTTAGGTCACTGGCCTACACTGCAAGTGAGCTTTAACCGTTCATCTCTCCATTAACCCATTTTCCTTCTTCAGCCCCTCACCCTCGCTGACTTTTACTCTATGCCGGGTCCATTGGTAGATTTTCTGAGAGAATCTGACAGGCCCAGCCCTCTAGGAATTTAATCTAGAATCTAGTGTAAAGATTTTTAAATACATAATTACATTCAGAGTGATTCCTACAATGTTGGTGGCTTAATAGATAGCTTCAGAACCCAGAGGGAAAAGGAAGTAACTTGAGGGGAGGGGGGGAAGTGGAAAGCAACACATCAGGGAAGGTTTCACTGAAGAAGGGACTTTTGACCTTGACTGGGCTTTGGAGGTTTACTAGGAGTTTGCAAATTTACCAGAATGGAAGGGAACATTCCAGTAGGGGAAGCAGCGCAGGCTGCAGAGTTATGAAAAGGCCTGCCATGTTAGTGGAGCAGCAAGCAGCCCAATATTGCAAGAGATTGTGGAGGTGAGTCTCTGGAAAGAAGGTTGAGACAGAAGGCCTTACCTTCTATGCCATGCTGAAGCCAAGATTTATCCTAGAGTTCAGTATTTTTCAGCCTCTTTAAATGTTTTATCTTTTGATAAACATAAACAACTTATGACCTCTGAAATTTTATTTTGATATACGCCTCTTCCCCACGGGAATCACAAATAGAAAACTTTAGCCAAAAAACTTCGGTAGTTGTGTTAAGAAAGTTGTATTATGTTTAACAGATTACCACAAATAATAATAAAAAAAAAAAAAACAAGAAAGTTGTGTTATATTTGCCTCCCAATTATAAGAATATATCAATAGGTTGGTGATGCTTTATTCAAATTGATTTGGCCCTAGACATTGGTACATTCAACAGAAAAGGTTTTAAAGAGGAGGATACCCTGATTTGTCCTGTGTTTTAGGAAGAAAACAGCCATAAATGTCTAAAAAGTACCTTTCTTTCTTATGCATAGGACACCATGAAGCAACTGCCAGTCTTGGAGCCTGGAGACAAGCCCAGGAAAGCAACATGGTCTGTAAGGAAGGATTCAGACATGGAAAAACATGAGTTTTTATTTCATTTAGAAGTAGTTTACTAACATCTGATCATCTACGAAAAAGGGTAGAGATGAAACTGCCTGCAGTTTCTGGTAATTAGACTCAAACTGTCTGAGAAGGTCCTCAGAGGAAAGATAGGGGAACAATAATTATCACAGAACAGATGTTGATTTTATTAAAATCCATTTACCAGGAAGAGTAAGGCACTGACCATCTGGCATTTTCAGTTCCAAAGCTGTGTCTTCCCCGAAGCTGTGACTCATTTTTAAGATTTTTGGGAAATTAGATTTGGGTTAAACTGCCTTCACTGTTTATTGGCTGCTTGTTCAACCAACCCTTAATTCAACAGCTAACACTGGCCTGATAGGGGCAGCTGCTGTGTAGGTGTTGGAGGTACAAAAGTAAATAGTCTCCATGTAGGTGGGGCTACAGACAAGCAGGTGATGGTGATAAGGTGTGACCAGTGCTGAGGCAGGACTGCATAAGCCTGTAGAGAGGTGGCAGTGTGTCTGCAGGACCGTGAAGGAGAGCATCTAATCTACCTTCCCTGTATCCATCTTGCTCAGTATCCAGAATACATCTGATCGTGGCATTCCCTAGTTTAAAACCCTTTTGTTCCTCCCTGATGTTCTTAAGATAAAAACCCGAAAAAAAAAAAAAAGATAAAAATCAGATTCCTTACACTGGCCCAATGGGCCCTGCAAAATCTGTTTCTGTCTGTCTTTCCAACCTCTAATCCCCTTGTTCATTCCTTTGTTCTCTTTCTCTTTTAACATTCTCTGCACTGTCCCACTCAGGTACCATACATTCTGGTCCTTCTGCTTGGACTTCTCTTTCCCCCCACCTTCCATCTCTGTCTTTGCCCAGTAAATGTCTACTCATACTTCAGATCTCAGTTCAAATGGTGTGTCTTTGGGAAACCTCTTCTGACTACCCATTCCCCCCCTTTACAGGATAAAGCCCTCCTATGATTTGTTCTCATACTATATATCCTGTATTCCTTTATTTCACAATTTAACTAAAATAGATATTTGTGAAATTGTTTAATGTTTCTCTTCCCAACTAGTCTGTAAGGGCTATGAAGGCAGGAATTTTTTTGTGTTATCCACTGTCTCTCTGGAAGGCTGTGTGCTCTTGGGTAAGTTATTTAACCTTTTTAAGCCTCAGTTCCTCAGTTGTAAAATTCAAATGATGATAATAGAACTAAGATTAAGTGACATAAGAAGAGAGATCTGAATAAGAAATAGAGATTTGGAAACCACTGATGAATATGTAGTAATAGGTGGGTGGTAATTGAAGCCATCAATACAGATAAAATTAATCAAATAAGCAAAGTAGACTGAGGAAAAGAGAAGCCCAAGTATAGTGAGAGTTAGGAGCAGGCTGGTATGAAAGGAGTCAGAGAAGGAGACAGAAAGAGCAGCCAGGGCTGGGCATGGGGGCTCACATTTATAATCCTAGCACTCTGGGAGGCCTAGGCAGGAGGATTGCTTGAGCCCAGGAGTTCGAGACCAGCCTGATCAAGAGTGAGACCCCATCTCTACTAAAACTAGAAAAATTAGCTGGGCATCGTGGTTTGTGCCTGTAGTCCCAACTGCTAGGGAGGCTGAGGCAGGAGGATTGCTGAAGTCCAGGAGTTTGAGGTTGTAGTGAGCTATGGTGATGCCACTGCACTCTAGCCCAGGCAACAGAGTGAGACTCATTCTCAGGTTAGGGGAAGAGCACAAGAAGGAGGGAGGGTGAGGAGAATCAAATACCAGAGAGGTCAAGACAGACTGGGCCTGAAAAACAGCCTGGAATTTTCCTTTCCAACCAGGAAGCTGGAAGTGTATTTTCTCAGTTAGCATTCCAAATGACTTCAGAGGGTGGAATGACTGAATTCATATTTGAGTTTTCAGAGTTCTAGCCTTGGCTTCCATCAGATGGAGCTTTATGAATAATCTGGAAAGGCTCTTGGAATCAATAAATTCTAGAGAATTTTTTTTTTATGGGGAAGCATCATTGGCTGGTGGCAAGATCCTTGGGGCTGTAGGTTCCTACTCAGTTGCTCATGAAGCTCTAGCCACCATTTATTGGGTTCTTCCCTGTACCATTGTGAGACCTTGTCTTAGTCTTCACAGTCGCCTTTTGGGGTGAGAACTATTGCTGTGCTTGCTTTACAAATGAGGAAACTAAAGTTCAGAAAGGCAAAGTGGGTTCCAAAAGGCCACACATCTAAAAAGTACCTGAGCTAGGACATGAAGCAGATCTGTCTGAATTCACAAACTGTGTTCGTAGCCACCATCCTGTGCCAAGACATACCAATGAACATTTCTGGATGTCAGTTTCCCTGTCTACCAAATGGGGACAATTACTAGCCCACTGCATCCCCACTAGATTACTATGAGATGAAAATAGTTACAAAATTGAAAAGCCAAAGTCTGTGTGCAAAGGGAAGATGGGAAGATACTAATATTAATCAGGGAAGTGCTGCTTTGCTGGATACAATGTAAGTGTCTATGTATGTATAAGATCCTTCATTCTGATGAATATTTCGTGAGGAATGGAAAGAACACACTGCTGCATCTATTCTCTGCTCAGGCCTCCTGAACACTTCCTCCCTTTGGCAGGTACACCTTGACTCTCCCTGGAGACAGCCCCTGTGCTCGAGTTGGCCATAGCTGCTTATATTTACCCCCAGTTGGTGATGCCAAGAGAGGGAAGATCTTCATTGTTGGGGGAGCAAATCCAAACAGAAGCTTCTCAGACGTGCACACCATCGATCTGGGTAAGACCAGCAGCTGCAGAGCACATGCCCTGTGGCCAGAGAACAGAGCTTTGTGCTGCCAGCTGTGAGCAGAGCATTCCTAAGAACACCAGTTCAAACCAGACCATGGGGTTTTCCTATAAAAAAAATGAACATCACTTGACAGGTCCTTAAGATCCCAGCAGACCCCTGACACACATTCATATGACCAAAACCTCCTTGTTTTGGGGGAAAGAACCCATATGGTGCCCTGACCATCTGGCCATTTACTCATCAAATATTTCTCTCAGAGACATCAGTGACTCTCACCTCTCCTTCTACCCACATATTCAATTAATCACCAAGTGCTAAATATCTCTTATCATCACCCATGTCTGTCTATTTCCACTACTACTAATGTAGTCCAAGCCACTGTTCTCTCTCAACTAGACTGTTAAAACAGCACCGTCCCTGGTCTCCTTATTTCCAGGTTTACCCACTATGCAGTACATTTTCCATACCTATCCAGAGAATATTGCCTAAAATGCAAATCTGACCATGTCACTCCCTGATTGCAGGCCTTTCCCAACCTCATTTCTTGGCTTTTCACATCCCGTATTTGCTGCACTGAATATCCTTCAGTTCCTTCAGCACATCTTAAACTCTCTGGCCTCCAAGCCTTAGCACATAATGTTCCCTCTGCTTGGAAGCCTCTTCCTTTGCCTTATCATCTGGCTACTCTTCCTCTTTCTGACCCCAGATTAAATGGCACTTCTGTCAGGCCACTTTCCCTGATACCTATGGACTCATTTAGGCACTACCTGACTATGTGTCCATAGTATCATGTACTTGTCTATCCTATCCCCCCTTTGCTGCCCTGACACATGTGATTGTTTCTTATCTGTCTGCCCCACAAAAGGGAACGTGGTGGCCGGGCGCTGTGGCTCACGCCTGTAATCCTAGCTCTTGGGAGGCCGAGGCGGGCGGATTGCTCAAGGTCAGGAGTTCGAAACCAGCCTGAGCAAGAGCGAGACCCCGTCTCTACTATAAATAGAAAGAAATTAATTGGCCAACTAATACATATAGAAAAAATGAGCCAGGCATGGTGGTGCATGCCTGTAGTCCCAGCTACCCAGGAGGCTGATGCAGTAGGATCGCTTGAGCCCAGGAGTTTGAGGTTGCTGTGAGCCAGGCTGACACCACGGCATTCACTCTAACCTGGGCAACAAAGCGAGACTCTGTCTCAAAAAAACAAAAAAAAAAATCAAGGGCCAGGCATGATGGCTCATGCCTATAATCCCAGCACTTTGAAATTAACAGGGCATGGTGCCCATGTCTGTAATTCCATCTACTTGGGAGGTTAAGGTGGGAGGATCACTTGAACCCAGGAGATTGAGGCTACAATGAACTATGACCACACCACTGCCCTGCAGCCTGGGTGACAGAGTGATACCCTGTCTCTAAAAGAAAATTTAAAACATTGAAATTGTTTGGCATCTCTTGACAATTTTGGGAGATCTGACATGAGTAGGCCTGCATGTCTACACACCCATAACTATCTGGAGCTGAGCTGCTACCAGTCACTAGGCTGTCATTTTTCAGTTTGCCACAGTCCCTGCTATTGTCTAGGCATTTGAATTTCTACTCCCTGCACTAAGAAATCAAAGGTAAATTAAATCTATTCCAGCTCTCAAGGCTCTCACTGTCTAGTTCAATTACATCTTTATTGCAACCTATTAACACATTAACTGCCATGAGAGTTGTATTTAACTTACTCTAGTTTTGACCCCGGGGCCACATGAAGCATATATAAACCTTACTTGTTGATGTTCTTATTGTTACAATTAATATTGACAATTTAATTCTAAAACTGTGGATAAAATGAATAAAAGCCAACAAATTTCATTTTTCTCTTTATGATTGCCTTTAAATTACACTTAAAGTTTTTATTCTATTTTTGTAATAAAACACTGTGGCCCCAAGAAAAAGTTTCTGGGTTTTTTTTTGTGTGTGGCAGTCAGTGTGTTAATTAATAGCTTTGTGACTGTGGCTAAACCATCAAAACCTGCAGTCCCCAGACCCCTGTTAGGGACTGGGCCACAGAGCTCTGCACCACCCCCACCCCCATTCCATGGAAAAATTGTCTGACATAAAACTTAGGAAGGAGCACAGAAGGAAGTGAGCAGTGGGTGAGGGAGGGAAGCTTCATCTTTATTTACAGCTGCTCCCCTCCCCATTCCTCACATCACCACTTGAGCTCCAACCCCACCTCATGCCAAAAAGGGCGGAGGCCATTGATCTAAACCATCTGGACCTTAGTGTCCTGTAAAGTGGGGATAATACCTTGCTTCACATGGCAGTTGTAATGATCTAACAAGATGATGCCTGTGAAGGTCCTGTGTAAGTGGTTTACTAACTAAAATAACTAATAAAGGTTAGGTATTATTATTCCCTGAACTTATTTTAGCCAGAATCATTTAGTTCTAGGTAGCAGAGACCCACTTAAACCAGCAAAGGAAAAGGAATTTACTTGTACAGATACAGGAGTGTTTCGCTGAATCTAAGGGCAGGAAGTATAGTGTGACCTCATGAGAGCATGGAAGCAGTGGATCTGAGTGGTCCATTTTGGGTCAGGGGGTTACCTCAGACCCAAGCAGCTAATGTTAGAAAGTCAAGGTGCACACCAGGCACAGTGGCTCATGCCTGTAATCCCAGTACTTTGGGAGGCTGAGGTGGGAGGATCGCTTGAGGCCAGGAGTTCAACACCAGCCTGAGCAACATAGTGAGACTCCATCTCTACAGAAATGTTTAAAAATTAGCCTGGTGCAGTGATGCACACCTGTAGTCCCAGCTACTCAAGAGGCTGAGACAGGAGGACCACTTGAGCCCAGGAGTTCAAGGCTGCAGTGAGCTATGTTCGTGCCACTGAACTCCAGCTTAGGTGACAGAGCAAGACTCTGTCTCAAAATAAATAAATAAACTCAAGATGTTGTAGTACAAACATATCACCTAGAATCTACCCGTGTGCTTAGGGGAGTGGAGACAGTGAAAGTTTATGGACTAGGTAGACAGCCCTCAAAATGTCTACTATAGAACTTTTTGGAGGTTGACAACTTTCCCTTTAAGTGAGTTGATGTTTGTTCATTTATGCTTTTAGGCTTCTTCTACCTTCCCCAGCTTTTTTTTTTTTTTTTTTTGAGACAGAATCTCACTCTGTTGCCTAGGCTAGAGTGCCGTGGCGTCAGCATAGCTCACGGCAACCTCAAACTTTTGGGCTCAAGTGATCCTCCTACCTCAGCCTCCCTAGTAGCTGGGACTACAGACATGCCCCACTGTACCCAGCTAATTTTTTCTATATATTTTTAGTTGTCCAACTAATTTCTTTCCATTTTTAGTAGAGACGGGGCCTTGCTCTTGCTCAGGCTAGTCTCGAACTAATATAAATTAATTTATTTCTACTTATAGTAGAGGTGGGGTCTCGCTCTTGCTCAGGCTAATTTCAAACTCCTGACCTTGAGCGATCTGCCTACCTCGGCCTCCCAGAGTGCTACAACTTTGCCAACCAGTATAAACAGTTGTCAGCCCTAATATAGGAACTGGGTAAAATGTTTTCTAGGAACACACCGGTGGGATTTGGCCACCTATGAGGGCCTCTTGCCCCGGTATGAGCATGCCAGCTTTATTCCCACCTGCACACCCAACAGGATCTGGGTATTTGGAGGTGCCAACCAATCAGGAAATCAAAATTGTCTACAAGTCCTGAATCCTGGTAAGTAACCAAAGGTTATTTTATTTATATATTTATATTTATTTATAAATACATATAAATACTCACATATGCATACATAAATACAGTTATAATTTTAGTATATTTGGATTATACTAATTAATCCATTTAACTTTGCTGACCTCATAGAAAAATAGGAATTTTAACTATTAGCAGGATCTGAAAACAATAAAATTATATTAAGGGACATTTGGCCATATCTGAAAACATTTTGGGTTATCACAACTGGGAACAGGGTAGAATAGACATTCAGCAAATTGCTTGGCTGATTATGAAGCTAGTTTGCTAGGAGTAGTAGCATATAGTGTGGTGGTTAAGAGCACAGATCAGGCCGGGCGTGGTGGCTCATACCTGTAATCCTAGCTCTCTGGGAGGCCGAGGCGTGCAGATTGCTCAAGGTCAGAAGTTTGAAACCAGCCTGAGCAAGAGCGAGACCCTGTCTCTACTATAAATAGAAAGAATTAATTGGCCAACTAATATGTATAGAAAAAAATCAGCCAAGCATGGTAGCACATGCCTGTAGTCCCAGCTACTCGGGTGGCTGAGGCAAGAGGATTGCTTGAGCCCAGGAGTTTGAGGTTGCTGTGAGCTAGGCTGACGCCATGGCACTCACTCTAGCCTGGGCAACAAAGCAAGACTCTGTCTCAAAAAAAAAAAAGAGCACAGATCAGATCAGTTTGCTGTGCACTAACCATGACCTTGAGCAAGTGATTTAACCTCTCTGCTTTGGTTTTCTGTCACAAAGGGATAATAATAGTTCCTACCTTGTTAATTTGGTAAGGATTTAAGTTAACTCAGTAACTGGCACGTAGTTAGTGATGAGTAATATTTGTTGTGGTTGATGTAGTTAAGGTTTGGCAGATGGGAATCAGTTCTGGAACACTGGGCTTTGATTTTCAATGATGGCATCCATTTAAATAAAATACAGTGAGAATTTGGAAAGCTTCTATCAAAGGAATTTATTTTCTATCTTTCCTTTTATTTTTCTCTCCTAGAAATTATAATTTGACACCATGCCCAAGAAATACAAAAAATCTGTCAGTTGCTTTTGTTACCAAGGCAAGTCCCTCAAATGGCTTAGGACTCCTTTGTGATTATTTGTGCTAGTGTTTGACTTGGCAGCAAACAGCCCCAGGATCTTCAGACCCTGGAGGTTGTATGCCTTCTACCTCTAAGATCCAAAAGCTTTCCAAGATCTGTAGCTGTAGAGACAGTTACATTTTGCTTTGGATATAGGCTGAGGCTTGTTCGGCATATGGGTTCATGTTTGAACCTCACACATATGCATATGCTTCATGCAGCATTTTATATGTTGATTGCAGACCTTTCACAAAAGGCACAGCATTTCCCACACAAGAAATAATTCTTGGTGTGTTATGGTGGAGCAAGTACGAGATTCTGATAGATCTGCATTTAAACCCCTGCTCTGCAACTCAGAAGTGCTGTGACTGCAGGAAAGGATTTAAGTATTCTGAGCTTCAGTTTCCTCATCTGCAAGGTGGAGACACTTTCCACCCACCTCCCAGGATGGAGTGAAGACAGTGGGCATGGCACAGTGCTCAGGGCAATGATTCTGCCCAAGGAAGGTGTTCAATTAACTCATCTGCTTCTGTAACAATCCATGCTTCATTCTAAGAAGAAATAAGCTTCTATACATCTATCCAGGTGGTGAAATTTTATTCTCAAGTCAGAAGAGTAGGCCAGGCCCGGTGGCTCATGCCTGTAATCCTAGCACTGGGTCAGGAGTTTGAAACCAGCCTGTGCAAGAGTGAGACCCTGTCTCTACTAAAAATAGAAAGAAATTAATTGGCTAAGTAAAAATACATAGAAAAAATTAGCCAGGCATGGTGGCACATGCCTGTAGTCCCAGCTACTTGGGAGGCTGAGGCAGAAGGATTGCATGAGCCCAGGAGTTTCAGGTTGCTGTGGGTTAGGCTTGATGCCACGGCACTGTAGCCCAGGCAGCAGAGTGAGACTCTCTTTCAAAAAAAAAAAAAAAAGAGTAGAACATACATAGATCTTGGTGTTATTGAAGCAGAATTTAAATTACAATTCAGCCATTTACTAGCCATGTCATCTTAAACAAGTGACTTTATTTCTGCTTCAATTCTCTTATCTGTAAAATGAGGAAACTAGTATTTATTTAGCACTTACTGCTTAGTAGGGATTATTATTACTGCTACTGAAACTGTAATAACATTGTCTGTTTTCTTTTAATGGCCACATTTTCTGGGAAATGTGGCACATTTGGACTCTGGCATGTAGTAAGAATGAATTTTAGCAGATGTCGGGCTCCTTGCAATGGGCACTGGGCACAGTAGTGAGCAAAGTGGAAGATGGTTCAGTAAGGGTATTTGAAGGCCTCCAAAAACAAACTCACCTCACTCTTAATTGTATTTATGGCTTTTCAATCTTGGGGATGTTGGTCTGTCTGAGCAAATCTAAGCATCACCCTTGACAGTGGTGAGTGTGAGATCTCTGTCTAAAACTGTGCTTTTCCCCTTGGGGAAGCGGGTAGGAAGGTGACCCTGACCAGCCCCAGTGTCAGGTCAGAGGCTTCTCAGCCTGGGGGTTTAAGGTGCTTGCCTTCTCTCTGGACCAGAAACCAGGACTTGGACCACACCAGAAGTGACCAGCCTGCCACCATCCCCAAGAACATTCCACACATCATCGGCAGCCATTGGAAACCAGCTGTATGTCTTTGGGGGCGGAGAGAGAGGCGCCCAGCCTGTGCAGGATGTGAAGCTGCATGTGTTTGACGCAAGTATGGACTAGCGGGTACCTCGGGGCTGCCACTTACCTGGTTGGGGCCACCCCGGCCTGCAGCTTACCTGATGTAGGAAGCAGAGGTTAGAAAACAAAACTATGGCTGAGTGTCTCACATCTAGACTTCTCTGTTATATTCCTTAGCTGATAAAATTGGCATGTTAAAAGGAATAATCAATTTTAAAAACTTAAATAGTATAGTTTATAAAGTAAAAAAGTAAAAGTTTCCCCTTTAGCCTTTTCTTTTCACTCCCCATACAGAAGTAAACACTGTTAGAAGTTCCAATGTCTCTTTCCAGATTTTCCTATGCATTTGTAAATTATACATACATGTATATATGTACATATATGAATTTTCTATGAATTTGAAATTATATAAGCACTTAAAATTAACACATACATGAAATCAACTTATAAATACTGTTCTAAAGCTTACTTTTGGGGAGTATGGGTTAATCTTAGCAGTTGAAAGCATGAACTTTGAAGCCACATGACCTGGACTCAGGACCAGATCTGACACCTACTTTTTTTCTTTCTTTCTTTCTTTTTTTTTCTGAGACAAAAATCTCACTCTGTTGCCTGGGCTAGAGTGCAGTGGTGTCATCATAGCTCACTGCAACCTTAAACTCTTAGGCTCAAGCGATTCTCTTGCTTTAGCCTCCCAAGTAGCTGGTACTACAGGCATGCACCATCACACCCAGCTAATTTCTCTATTTTTTGTAGAGATGGGTTCTTGCCCTTGCCAGGCTGGTCTCAAATTCCTGAGCTCAAGAAATCCTCCCGCCTTAGCCTCCCAAAGTGCTGATTATAGGCATGAGCCACCATCCCTGGCCTGACACATACTTTCTGTGTTACTTTAGGCTAATCATTTAATTTTTCTTGGCCTTATTTTGCTGGTATGTAAAATAAAGATAATGATAGTACTTTCCACAAAGAGTTGTAAAGATTAAATGAGATAATGTGATATAGTGCATAGCACAATACCTGGAAGTAACTAATAAATATTAACTGTTTCTACTTCAAGTTCTCCCCAACAAAAAAGAAAAAAAAAATAAATAAATAAATAAATATTAACTGTATTATTATTTCTTCATTTAATCATACATCATGAATGTCTTTCTAAATCAGTACCAACTTACATGCAAACATATCCTTCTGTGGGCATCCCTTATTCATTCAGTCATTTTCCTACTGATGGACTTTTTGCTGACAGTGTTACAGTAATATTTATATATAATCTTTATACATGTTACAAATATTTATATGAAATAGATGCTGAGAAGTGGAATTACTCGGTCAAAGTGATATAAACATTTAAAATTGTGAGATCTCTTGCCAAATTGTTGTCTAAGGAACATTTACTTACATTTCTTTTTCTCATGTGGACATTTATGAATAACACATTACAAATAACATGTGACACACTTTTTCACGTGTGTTTCATAGTAAAGATGCAGTCTTTTTTTGAGAAAATGCAATAAGTAAAATTTTAAACTTCCTAAGTAAGATTGGGAGAATTAAGACACATCACAGAGTCAGACACAGTGGCTCATGCCTTTAATTCCAGCTACTCAGGAGGCCGAGGCAGGAGGCCGTGAGCCAAGGAGTTCAAGGCTGCAGTGAGCTATGATTGTGCTACCGCACTCCAGCCTAGGTGACAGAGAGAGACTCTGTCTCTAAAAGAAAAGATATATTATACACTATGACTTTTCTCTTTCCAGAAAGTGGGCTTTGTGAATCTTTAAAAGCAGTTTTAAAAATTTTAAATAATATTGGTTTTGTAAGAAATAATAAGAAAATATATATATATATATATACAAACATATATAAAATACTACCACCCAAAATTACTGTTAATATTAACATCTCAGTGTATTAGCAGTCTTATTTTTTTAAGAGCAGAGATAATTCTATATGTAGTATTTGTATCCGTTATTTTTCACTTAAGCATTGTTCCATGCAATCACAAGATCTTCACCAGCATTTTTAATAAATGCATAGTATTCCATCATGGCTATACCAATAACCCAACCATTCAACTGTTGATGAAAACTTAGGCTATTTCCAATTCTTCTCTATTACAAACAATACTATGATGAACATATTTGTGCAAAACCCTTTTCAGATTATTTAAAATCATATTCCTTGGGAGACTGGGCTACCTCAACAACCAACAGGCATGCCATAATGTCTGTTCAAAGATAAATTGTTTGGCAGACCTTTGTCTCAAATAGTTTTTGTCGTATTCCTATAAGACTTTTCTGGCATATTGAAATGATTAATTTTCTAGAATTCTATATATGTACAGCTTTGAAGATATGGAGGGTTGCCTGCAGTAGCACACATCTGCACTGTTAATGGATAATAACCATATTCATAATTCTCATGTATTGAATACTTTTTTCCTGTTGTACCCATGCTTTGTGTACATTATCCCATTTAATCCATACCTCTCATTAAATCCAACCTTGAGAGGCAGGTCTTGTCCTCATCCCTATTTTACAGCTATAGAAACTGAAGCTTAGAGAAGTACGCAAAGGCTTTCGTTATTAGTGAGATACCTGGGTTTTAAGTTACAATCCATGTTCTGTTATCTTACTGCAATCGGTGGACCCTGCTAACTTTTATTTAAAAGTAGTCTGTTTTTTTCCCCACCCCTTTAAATCGTTAGAGTTGTCGTGAATATGGCGGGCGCTGGGCTCACGCTGATCCTAGCACTCTGGAGGCGAGGCGGGCGATTGCTCGAGGTCAGGAGTTCGAAACCGCTGAGCAAAGCGAGAGACCCGTCTTACTTAAATAGAAAGAATTAATTGGCAACTAATACATATAGCAAAATTAGCCGGGCATGGTGGCGATGCCTGTAGTCCAGTACTCGGGAGGCTGAGGCAGCAGATTGCTTGAGCCAGGAGTTTGAGGTTGCTGTGAGCTGGCTGATGCCACGGCACTCACTCTAGCCTGGGCAACAAAGTGAGACTCTGTCTCAAAAAAAAAAAGAGTATTGTCTTGAAATAAGACTGTGAAGGCCTGTTACAGAAGAAGCAGGCCCATTTTAACTTGGGCAGTTCTAGGTTGAAGCTTAAGAGATCCTTTTAAATTCAAAGCAAGGAATGGCTTCCTAATGCTCAGTAGAAAAGGCAAGCATGTAGGTAGTGGGCTCTCCAGCCCTAGAAGTGTCGGAGCAGAGGCTTCAGGCTGTAGAGAGAAAAGTCCTGGATTGGGTTGGTAAATTGGAGTGAATGATGCCAAGGTTTGTTCCTGTTTGGAGCATCTCTGCTTGCTAGGAGGTGATAAAAAGGCTTTGTTGTATTTCTCATGTTCTTGCTTCATAGCTTTGCCATTTGCTGTTACTGAATTTACTTTTCTAGATACTCTGACCTGGTCACAGCCAGAGACACTTGGAAATCCTCCATCTCCCCGACATGGTCATGTGATGGTGGCAGCAGGGACAAAGCTCTTCATCCATGGAGGCTTGGCAGGGGACAAATTCCATGATGATCTCCATTGCATTGATATAAGTTAGTAGGGTGAAGGGCATGGGGACTTGTCCACTTAAAAAAAAAATTTTTTTTTTGAGACAGGGTCTTGGTTTATTGCCCAAGCTAAAATACAGCGGAAGGATCATAACGTACTGTAACCTCAAACTCCTGGGATCAAGCAATCCTCCTGCCTCAGCTTCCCGAGTAGTTAGGACTACAGGAACACACCACCACACCCCACTAATTTTTTAATTTTTTTTGTAGAGATTGAGTCTTGCTATGTTGCCCAGGCTATTCTCAAACTTAGGGGCTTGAGTGATCCTCTCACCTTGGCCTCCCAAAGTACTGGGATTACAGGCATGAGGTACCACACCCAGTCTGCTTAAATTTTTTTAAAATGTCCTTTGAAAGAATATAGCCTTGCTCTTATGTGTGGGTAACTTGACCAGCTGGCAGAATCTTCATTAGATTCTGTCAAATGTGGCCTGAATAAAAAACAAGTCATTTTCTGAGTGCTTACTATGTACTCAGCCATTTATTTTCTCCTATCTTGCCAATAGTCCTGCTCTTTCATTACAGTTCTTCATGCTTTGTGTTTCCCTACTTGATTTCTTTCAAGCGTTAGCAATTACCCCATGAGGGGCCTGAATAACATCAAGGGGGGTGACCAGAATTGTACATTCGTCATTCTAAATGGGTGAAAACAGTGGGAAGAAGAAAGTTAGAGAGAGCTGGAGTATTTTCTTTAAATATCTGAAGGCCTGACATGCCCCTGGAGAGCCTGGATTCATTCTCGTCATTCCTTCAGGCTGTGAGCTCCCTTAGGGCAGGGACTTTGTCTCTGTTGTTCCCCAGTATGTTTCCAGCACTTTGCACAGTGTTCGACAGATATTGGGTGATGACTTGCATATATGGTGATGAGTGCATGGATGAACAAATGAACATGTTCTGCCTAGTTCCAAACTACAAGAATTGGAATAATGGGCAGAAGGTATGGGAACTCCTGTGCAGTGTTTTGAGCTATGTTGCCAAGCACTGGGTTCTCTGACTTGGTGACATCTGAGGCCAGGGACACTGGCCGCGATTTCTGCATTGGCTAGAATTTTGGCCATACTGGGTGACTCTCTCTTTTCGCCCTGAGATGCCAGGCCCCTGCGTTGCGTTGGCAATGGAAACTATCTTCACAAAAGCATTCCTTGCAGGCAGTCAAATGGGGTTTTAATGTTTCTTTTTAAAAAGAAAATCCTTTTTTCTTGTGCTGAGGAACTACTTCCTATCTATTTTTCCTGCCTACACAAATAGCTCTCTAAACCTAAAATCCAGTGATGTCCTGTCTCATTTAAATGCTTATATAGGCAATGGTCCTCACCTATAATCCCAGCAATTCAGGAGGCTGAGGTAGGAGGATCCTTTGAGGCCAGGAGTTCAAGACCAGCCTGGGTACAGATTGAACTCCTTGTTCTATTACTTTCCCCCCTCCT